AAGTATGTTTTGAACCAGTTTAGTACAGTTCCTGAAAGACCTGCCAGTTCTCCAGTCATTTGAGTAATATGTTGTGGTCAACTGTTAATGGTCAAGAGTTAATGTTTCCATTGTAACACCTCCAGATTTGACATAGAAACACTCGTTTTTAACACTCGATTTTAACTACTATCATTTTACACCTCAGAGTTACATTAAAAGAATGTGACTCTATTTAGAGTAAAATTAACTCTACTTTTGCAAGAAGACTACTAACACCAATACATTTAACACTTTTGAATTTGCTGTGTAGGGAAATGTTTATTCTTTATTCTTATAATGTGTTGGAAACCCTTACATATTCAGTTCAGGTCATTTGTGTTTTATTTGCACCCTTTATTGTTGGATTGAAAACCCCAATAATAAGATTATGAGCTTGGTGATGGTGGGAAGTAAAAACTCAGTTTTAACAGGAAGAAACCTTTGGTTCAGTGAGGCGTAGCCATTTGCTGTAACCGGTTGGGGGTCCTGAGCCTCTCCCTGAGCCTGGTTCTGCAGGAGATTCTGGGACCCTAACGAGATGTTTGAAGCCTAATCCTAAAGTTATCGAGGATGATTTTTTTCGAAATTTTAGGAACCACACTGTCTTCAGTCTTTACTGAGATATTCCTCTCACTGGCTTGGGAATTCCTAAAAAATAAACAAATTCTTCTTAAAATCAGCTTGCAAAACAAGTCTTTGACCTTAAATTTTCAAGAACAACATCTATTTCTGACTTGCCTCTAAACCTACCTCATCCTTCACATGTACCACGTAAGTCACACTCAGCAGATACTTTCTTCCAGTTAAACACCATATTCGATCATATGATGATACTGCTGTAAAGTGGCCCACTGGATCACTATTACGGGTTGGACCACACCCATCGTCAGACTCACCCTTTCGTGTAATCTCAGCTACAAAGCTATAAAGTTTCATGACTGCTTCATATACTGTTGTGATTTTAAAGGTTTAAGCAATCACAGCTACACTGTTTTAAGTTTTAAAAAAGCCTTTTTTTCTTAATAGGTTTCATAAACGCCAAAACATTGAACATTTTTTATGTGTAGTTTTCAAATATAACTTACACTTCCTTCTCACCCTTGGGGTCTTTCTTCAGTACACACCCACTCATTCTGCCTGTTCGCGTTCATCAGTCTCACCTTCACACACACACTTATCATTTAGCTGTAGCAGCTTGAAAATGGAACAAAGAAAGCACTCACCTCGTTTCCGCCATGATTTATGCTAGGGCTGCTATATTATTGGTTCAGTTAATATGCAGACTCATTACACTCATCCCAGTCTCAGATTTATCAACTGTTTTGCTGAAGCAATTTAAGGGTTTTCCTGAAAATTGATTTAAGTGTTTCAGAATATATTTCTGAGTACTTATCACTAACAACTTCCTCCTTCAATTTCACTCTACCTCAATTTTAATTTGACAGAAAAGGGTCTCAAGCTCTAACTTTCTCTCTTCTCTGAAAGATTGTTGGATTTGTGATGTATAAATCAAACCTCACTGTGTGTCTGAATGTTGGATCAGAACATTTTCTACCCTTACAAGAGTAAAACCGGGCAGAAAAAAATGAATAGATAGTGACTAAGTGCCCTTTTACCAGGCTCAAGTCAAGAAAATTGTCATCCACTTGTAAAAAGCTCATTACGGTTTTGGTGCAAGCTCCAAAGGGCATCCACTTCAGGCTTGCTGGTCTGTCTGAACTGAAAGCTTGCTACTAGAACCATTTGTTAACCGTGTCTGTATCTGTCCAGCCATGTTCACAGAGGTGCCTCACGATATGACTGCCCAAAGAGGTCAGGATGTGGAGATGGCCTGCTCATTCAGAGGAGCGGGAACCCCTTCCTATGCACTGGAAATCCAGTGGTGGTACATCAGGAACCATCTTGACTGGACCCACAGGCAGCCCTGGACAACTAATGAAGTAAGTTCACAACAGAAATTCTGGCTCCTTTTTTTGGTTTTATTTAAAGGATATGTTCACCCTTAGTGATCTTGTTTACAGGTGGTCATCCTTCCTGGGATAGTTAACACAGCCACCTGGGAAATCTAAATGCTCAGTTGAATCACTACTGCCTGACTGCTTGTTTCTGCAATGTTACCAAAATGATCAAAAAGATGAAAAATTAAAATAAAAGATCAACTCCAGATGAATTCTAGATGATCTTGCAATGGGATCCCACCAGCCCAGTGATGCTGATGCACACACTAGAGTTGGCACTGTAGTAAATGTGTTTGTAACATGTAAATGAACAGATTAGAAATCAAAGAAGGGGCTATAAGTATGCAAAGGAAAACAGACTAATGTGGGTGCAGGTTTGTAAGGTGCGAACAGGTTTTGAGCCCCTTGCCTCGATTTCTTCGAGTGTCCTTTACTCAGTACTGATCTTGGAACTCAGCCTTCATTTTGACCTCAGCTACACACTTGTCAGGTTTCACGTCTGTGTGATCACATTGCTGAAATATGCCCACAGAGACACATTTCAACACCTGCCAAAGTGCTCAAAACAACCTTTATGGCAGTTGCCACAGCAGGTGTTTTTAAGCCCACGGACTCATAAGGTGAAATAAGTATTTACGCTCTCTGTCTCTGAGTTGTCTTCAGAAATTGTCTTTTGAGTATATGGAAGAGTAAGGTAATATGAGCCCTTTTTCTTTTTTAACTTGACTTGAACTATAGTTAGAGAATTACAACCTCAAGTCCAAAGAAAGTGGCGTTATGGATCAGCTTGCCACATGCAGACTGTAAGCTTTGGTCCCATTTTGCCCCACAGTCACTTTTGCATGTTTTATTTTTATTATTTGTTTTGATGTATTCATTACCATTTCATCAATATGCGATCTATAACTATTATTATAGCTTTTGACCTGAAATCGATGATACCTGTTATGTCAAAAGCTGTTTAAAAAAAAAAAAATCTGTTGTTTACGTCATCCATAAGATTCTTCATTTACAGCGAGCTGAAAAAGTTACTTTCTATTTTAAATGAGAGTAAAATGACTTGCATGTGGTATGGTTGCTCATATTCAGGCGATGTATTGACTTACACACTTTCTCATCTTAACCAGCTCCCCCTCCCACAACACGTGTATATCCCTTATGATTTCACATTAGCTCGTATTAAAGTCTTTAAAACAACTTTAATTATTCTATTAGCCACATGGGGGCGAAAATTAATAAAACGATGCAGAAGAACATGAAGCCAATACAATAACATAATTAGGTGTTAACCAGCTGTTCTCACATCTACTAGACTTCGAGTAACATTAGCGCTCATTTAGACTCAGATTCCATATCACATTTATATTCAATATTAAATATGTTTTGTTTTTTAGATGTCTGACTATGTTAAGCAGTTGGTTTGTTTTTCTTGATGCATGTAGGAATTGATAAGACAGAGTCAGACTGAGCTAAATACAGTAACTGTGTATAAAACAGACCAAGAAGGAGCCAAAAATCTGCACAAAACTGCATATTATGATGGTATTTATCCCACGACAGCTGAAGTTTTCCTCCAAAAAAACTTGAAAAAACCCTCGCTAATTTCATGTTGATTTGTGTGTTTGTGAAATATTGACTGTAGTATGTGGGCTTCAGTATCTAACTGGCACACTAAGAACAACAAGAAACATAATCAGTTCTGTATTCTGGTACATGTGTTTCACTTTTAGTTTTAGAAAGCCAATCAAACTGAGATCCTTCTGCTAATGTTTGTCACTTTTCCTAGGTGGCTCCTGAGGAGGAGATGGCAAAGGATGCTACAAAGATAAGTGTGAGTTGCGAACAATATCTGCAGTTATTTTCACCAGAAAGCCGTTATGTTTGCCTTGGTGTTAGAAGACTCAAAATGCTTATGATTACATTTAAATTTCTTGTTCTGCATGATCCACAGAGGTTGTGCTTATGCTGTATTGCGCACAGCGATGTGATTTTCAGTCGTTGCAGCTCGCATGGTGGGTGAACGCTCCAGACGGTGCATTAACACGTTCACGAAAAACCTCGATGGCTCTGCAGAAGCACAGCGTCAGGCAAAGAGCAGGCAGCGCTGCTGCTCGTGGGTGGTTAAGTGTCCTCCCCATGGGGGAGTGGCCCCTGAGGGCATCATCTGCAAATTTTAATAAACACTACTGAAACTTTGTGGCTGCAGCACCAGATCTCAGTAAAACAGAGTAGAAAAGGAAGGGTGGGAAGTCAGCAGATCTTTTTATATCTCCTCTGGTACTCCCCCTGGCAAACGGAAAAATAGGTGAGCCTTTTATTGAAAGAAGCAGGACAGTATAGAGTAACTCAACATTTTGACTTTTTTCTAATTACCTGCAGAAGTGAGCAGACTGCAGGACCGACTGCATGTTATCTCTACATAAACTTATTCCCCTAGCCTTATCTCTTTCCACTGACTTTATAATTACAAAAATGAACCAAAAAATGTTCTACTTTCTGGGGTTTTAAAGCTGTGTGTGTGTGTGTGTGTGTGTGTGTGTGTGTGTG